TTTGATCCCAGGTATGGGAATTCTTTTACTATTTCTATTTCTTCTAGGCAGGCATATTTATAGGGCAAAGCCTATCCTGGGGCAGAATTTGGGATTAAAATGGAGTTTCCAGGAGATAACAATGGGAAGTTGTGAATGGCCAATCAGTGCAAACATCTTTGGAGAAAGGACTACCACTCCCAGAAGAAAGTGTACTTGGACTTCTGTTCACTTGCAAGTACAAAGTCGATCCCCTACCATCACTCCCACCAGTGAAGGGGTTATGCAGATTCTGCTTTTGATCGATCTATCCTCATCTACATGCTCTCAAGCTTCCCCTTTGCTGAGCCTCCCAGATCCCCAAATGTGGTCCTGTATCTCTTTATATAGTATGGCTGGTTTCCTCATGGCTATGTGCCTCAAACATCCTTTTTGCTATCAAGTTGACACCAGAAAAGAGGAGGGATGCAGAGGGCTAGACCTTGGGGTGACAGTGTGCTTTTTAGAAGAAACATCTGGTGAGAGTTTAGTACCAAATTGGCGTATGGAGTATTTTTGGGATTAATTCAGCATCTTTTTAGTGGCTGAGCTGAGCTAACAGGTGCTGCCATTGGGCATACTTGACAGGCAACCTTCCCTTGCCAACCAACTCTGCAGAAAACAGGCAGCAGTCAATTGAACTGAGTTATATACTGGTAATAGCAATGTATGTGTGTGTGTGGTGCCATTTTGTGAGAACCATTAGGTTAGGTCCCGTAGTGAGTTGGGCCCCTTCCACCAGGCAAATGGTTTTTGGAATCCATTTGAACATTATGGCTAGATGTTAAAAGCTGTTAAGTGATACAGAAAGGATTTATGTATTTGTGACTTTGATGCTTTTCCCATTAGCTTAGCAGTTTGTGGCTTGGAAAAGATATGAAGGATGGGGTAGTGAAATATCCTGTTATTAATGTGCTTGTACAGTTCTAATAGCTATGGTTGGGGGAAGATGGGTCTTGCTGCACACTTCAGTTTTCTTTGTTTGCATCTGCACTACATAACCATTGCAAATCCATCTTCCATTAGCCTCACCCTGGAGAGGGTGCTGTCACCCTCTCTCTCTTTAATATCAAGAAATATTGTGAGGCTCACCTCTCCATGATCCTAACATGGAAACCATGAACTTTAGGTTGGTCACATTTGCTAGCCTAGGAGTTGCCAGGAGGATGCGACTCACATACACACATCAGGGGAGGTGAGGAAAAGCCCATCAAGGGACAATACACCATTCCAATGTGATATTATTCTTGTCTATCAGGTCCTGTGAGTTATTTAAAGGAGGAATCTGTCCATTTGCATCCCAATTCTCACCTCGGAAGTCCCCACCCCTGAGGATTACTTTATACAATTT